AAGAGAGAGAGAAAGAGAGAGAGAAAGAGAGAGAGAGAGAAAAGCAAAAAGAGAAAGAAAGGCAAAAAGAGAAAGAGAAAGGCAAAAAGAGAAAGAGAAAGGCAAAAAGAGAAAGAGAAAGGCAAAAAGAGAAAGAGAAAGGCAAAAAGAGAAAGAGAAAGGCAAAAAGAGAAAGAGAAAGGCAAAAAGAGAGAGAACGAGAGAGAGCGAAAGAAGAGAAGGAAGAGAAAGAAAGGAACAGGGAAGAGGAGCTGGCACGAAGCAAGATGGCGAGGATAAGCAAGTAGGGGGGCGGGCGAGGGTAAGAAGGGGGCGGAGGGTCATCATGAGAGGGATGTTGCACGTGCCAATGTGTCGGGTGCATCGCCGAGGGTGGGGGGGAGGGGGCGTGTGGGAGGGAGGGGGGGAGTGGGAGTCGACGGAAGGGAAAGGGAAAGGGCAGGAGGAAGGGAAAGTAAGGAGGATAAATAAAGGAAAGGAGAAAGGAGTAAGAATAAAGAAGGGCATGGAAGACGAGGGATAAGGAGGAAGGAAGGAAGGAAGAGAGAGAGAGAGAACACCAGAGAAAGAGGGGGAGGGAAATCAACTCACAGAAAGAGAAGGGCGGCGAATAAAAAAAAAAAAAAAAAAAAGAAAAAAAACGCCCGACACAAAGCCCCTCGGACAAAGAGAAGTTCTCGCCGAGGGCTGGGTTCGAGGGCCCGGAAATGCACTGTCCCCTCGGCTGGCCAGGTCGGGAGAAGGGGAGCAGACGGGCACCAGGGACCAAGGGCGGCGGCCGTGCTTACTCTCCCCAGCGCTTCTCCTGGCGAAATAACAACGGCATCCGACTCCACGGGCCGCCCCCAAGACGAGGCTTCACACAGAGGAACTCGAGCACTAGCACTTAGAAGCATGTGTGTGTGCGCGTGTATGTGTGTATATGTATGTGTATGTGTATGTATGTGTATGTATGTATGTGTATGTATGTATGTGTATGTATGTATGTATGTATGTGTATGTATGTATGTATGTGTATGTATGTATGTATGTGTATGTATGTATGTATGTGTATGTATGTATGTATGTGTATGTATGTATGTATGTATGTGTATGTATGTATGTATGTGTATGTATGTATGTGTATGTATGTATGTATGTGTATGTATGTATGTATGTATGTACGTGTATGTATGTACGTGTATGTATGTACGTGTACGTATGTACGTGTACGTATGTACGTGTACGTATGTACGTGTACGTATGTATGTATGTGTACGTATGTACGTGTACGTATGTACGTGTACGTATGTACGTGTACGTATGTACGTGTACGTATGTACGTGTACGTATGTGTGTATGTTCATGTTTTTCTTGTACTAAATCCATGAGTCTGTATTATCTCTATTGTATAAAACCTACATACTTTTATACATCCATAAATACACATATATGAGCGGGAGGCAGGGAGCCAGACAAAGAGACAGCAGCGATAAATTCATGTGTACGTAACGTCCCCCCCCCCCATCCCCCACCTCCCATCCCGACGTCCGGCGTGGCAGCAGGGCAACAAGATGTACCAGCTTCCGGTGCCCGAGGGCATGGCCGGAGCTGGGCCGCCCGCGCTTCATCCAAGACGCTTCCGATCGCTGCTTGCCAGTGTGCTTGCGAGAAAGCACAGCACCTCTGGAGGGTCGCTTTCGTTTCCTCAACCATGAATCGTCCGACCTTTCCATTCTTTCTTATGGCAGTAATATAAAATAGATGTACATTAATAAATAAAACAAAGGAAATAAAAGAGGAAATAAAACAAAGAAAACAAACAAAACAAAAAACAAAAAATGAGAAAAGACAAAAATCATAGCAACGAAAGCTCCTCCTCCCCTAACACCCCTTCCCCTCCCCCCTCTCCCCTCTCCCCCGACGTCGCGAAGGTCGTCCCCGTCGGCCGCCGCTCCCCGACAGCCAGCGAGAAGGCCGCAGCATCCGCCGCAATCCCAGCTCCATCTCAAAGACGTTCTTCTCGGGAAGTATACACAAGAAGCTGCCTTCAGAGGGGATGAAGGAGGCGCTGGAGGTCGATGGGACGCTTGTAGGTTTGCATTATGGGGGGAGGGGGAGGGGGGAGTGCGTGTGGGTGGGTGAGTGGGTAAGTGCATGTGGGTGTGTGGGGGGGGGGGTGGATGTGAGGGAGTGGATGTGGGTAAGTGTGGGGGAATGCGTGTGGGTAAGTGGATAAATGCGGATTAGGGTTGGAGGGTGTGTGGGGGAGTGCGTGTGGATGTGAGGGAGTGGCTGTGGGTAAGTGTGGGGTGAGTGCGTGTGGGTGAGTGCGTGTGGCTAAGTGTGGGTGAGTGCGTGTGGGTAAGTGTGGGTGAGTGCTTGTGGGTAAGTGTGGGGTGAGTGCGTGTGGGTAAGTGTGGGGTGAGTGCGTGTGGGTAAGTGTGGGGGGGTGCGTGTGGGTAAGTGTGGGGGGAGTGCGTGTGGGTAAGTGTGGGGGGAGTGCGTGTGGGTAAGTGTGGGGGGAGTGCGTGTGGGTAAGTGTGGGGGGAGTGCGTGTGGGTAAGTGTGGGGGAGTGCGTGTGGGTAAGTGTGGGGGAGTGCGTGTGGGTAAGTGTGGGGGAGTGCGTGTGGGTAAGTGTGGGGGAGTGCGTGTGGGGTAAGTGTGGGGGAGTGCGTGTGGGTAAGTGTGGGGGAGTGCGTGTGGGTTAAGTGTGGGGGAGTGCGTGTGGGTGTGGTGTGGGGAGTGCGTGTGGGTAAGTGTGGGGGAGTGCGTGTGGGTAAGTGTGGGGGAGTGCGTGTGGGTAAGTGTGGGGGGAGTGCGTGTGGGTAAGTGTGGGGAGTGCGTGTGGGTAAGTGTGGGGGAGTGCGTGTGGGTAAGTGTGGGGAGTGCGTATGGGTGTGGGGGGAGTGTGTATGGGTAAGTGCGGATAAGGGTGGGAGGGTGTATGGGGGGAGTGCGTGTGGGTAAGTGTGGGGGAGGGCGTGTGGGTAAGTGTGGGGGAGTGCGTGTGGGTAAGTGTGGGGGAGTGCGTGTGCGTATGTGTTGACGTGCGCGCTAGGAGAACCGAGGAAGGAAGGGAGGAAGGGGGTCGTGATGTGACGTCACGTAGCAGTCAGCTGATCCCCGAGCCTGTCCTTTAAGCCCAAAATTCCATAAAATTCCTCCTAGAAATCATTCCCTCTCCTTCCGACGCCCTGGCACAGACGCAGACGAAACCAACGCCTCCTGGAGAACATAAAAAAAACGTACCAAAACCCGATGTTTCTCGGATTGTAGGGTTGTAGGTCGCCCGCCGTCAGCTGTGACGT